TTAAGATTCTAGCACGATATCGAGGCACTCCGGAATGAGTAGTAAAATCTTAATTTCCAAAGTTAAATTAAACCTCAAAATGATCTATATATATGGTGTTGTATATGTAAATTCAGTTATAACGTTGTTCAGTAGTGAAATGACTAGCATTTCTATCAATTCTTATTATTGCAACAATTTGGAACGTCGAACATTATTTCATTCCTACCAACAAATATATTTTGTAATCCATCGATTTGCACTATATGGAGAACCATGGAAGAACAGCCTTGCTATATCTCAAGATATCGAACGTGGTCTATTTGGAAGTTACCTTTTTTAAAGCGATAGACAAAGTTGGACCAACTAGATCCAACTCCAAATCCATCATCGTGACGCCAGCAGTTGTTTTTACAACCGTGCAGGTTGTAGGTTATTTCTTGTCCATTAGGTGATCCCCAGCATTCTGTCTTGTGCTGTATTCCAAAGTATTCAAACCCTTTTTTCTCTGTTTTGTTTTTGCACTCTTCAAACATTCTTTTGAAACCTCTTGGTGAATCATCGAATTTGATTTGTCCGTGATAAAACGACAAGGCGCGATCAATGCTATCCCAGTAGCAGCCCAGAGGTTCCCACTTTTCATCTAATAGAAATATAAAAAGACGTTTTTTACTGTGGAAGGGTTCAAGAAAAGCCAAGAAGATTATCAGTAGAGCGAATAAATGATATATATATATACCATTTTCAAGTTCCAAATTACTGCTGTGTTGATTACCGACTCATCTACTAAGATTAGCTTATATCAACAAATGCCAACAGTCAAGTAAAATGTATTGTATAGAATGGYSTGAACCCAGGTRAATGGATGTTTATCGACGTAACAATATTTTTATTATGATCATCCGGGTGGATGTAGTCTTGAGAAGGACTGTTTGATAGGACTGAGGTTTCGACAACCTGAGCGGAAGTCATCTTCAGAGTCAAGTGAAGAATAAAGTCAGATTGGTTATATCTATACTGCCACGATAACAATAGCCTAATACCGAAAGGTGCAAATAAAATCGGGAGGAAAGAACTTAAACATTTGTTTTTGATTGCAGATCAATATAACGTATCCCATAAAGAAAACAAGTGAAATAATGCAATCGAAATAGACAATTTCGTTCTTGGAATTTTCTCACATGTACACAACCAACCACCATTAGCCCTAGGGGTTAAATTTCTTCTCGAAAAATTCTACGACAAAGTTTTCCATGGCCAATATTTTTAAAGCTTTCAATTGCTGGTTACACCTAATTGTAGGAACGTTGTCATAAAAAATAACAAAGTACAAAATAGCAAATAGGATTGAATAATTTTTTGAGCAAAATAGGAGTAATTATTTCAATGTTTATAAGCTATAGACTGATATTTGTTGCGGTCACCTTGTCAGATATATCACAGTATTTTTCAGTTATTATATTTCCAGTTTAATATATGGCGAAACWAATAAATAAATAGATATTAACTAGTTAGTACATGCTCAAATTGTTATTTTCATCAATCAAGGTGTAACGTCTTGGGGTTGTCTCGTTAATTAAATATTATAACCAGAGAGTGAGACTATACATTTTGAACTACTCCATGCCTTTAATCGGTTCTCTCTCTGAAAGCACATGTAAATACTACAACTTGATTGGTCCGTGAGATCACGTGACACAAGGGAGCTTTGGAAACAAAGTATCCAAAGTTATTTCTAATTGATTCATATTTGTTATTTATTTTTTGATATTTGTTATCTTATATGACAACGTTCATGCTATTCTTCTTTTTTTTTTTGCCCTCTCTTCCTCCCTTTTTTTACGTTTCTTTATTACAAGGCAACTGGTGAAATCGAATTACAATTTGGAAATTATTTATTATGGAAGGAAAATCGGAGAACCGGATAAAAAGCATTTGAAGTGCAGGCGACAACCAACAAACAACACTACTCCCATACTAATCGAACCCGCCTTGCCACCTTTTCTTCCCATGTATAGCATTCAAGCACTTAATGTTCTTTCCTACCTACCGGACAAGACCTTCAGTTCCATCGCTGGATAATAAAACTTCCCCTGGTTACTATAACAGCGCATTTCATATCGGTTACTGTCTTCTTCTTTCACATCAGTTATCCTGAACCACGCTTTGCCAACGTTTAAATCTCCAAAGAATGAAACCCTGCTATCATACCCAGGGCCATGTGTTACATCCGATTTACCGCTATAGTTAATTACACCTAATATCTTTGGATTTGGATTGAAGTCATCGGCATGCCAAATGCCAAATGAACACCAACGATACTTCGTACCGGCGTCGTCCGTAGCCTTGATTTCCACTGTACTTCCACTAGTGACGGTTTGATTCGGCAGGATTGCAGGCATAGATGCATCCGAATCTGACAGTAAAAGTGCAAAAATTCCTTATTTAGATTCTTTTGTCAAATTAGTCAAATAAGGTGCTACTGATGAAAATTTTTTATGGAAAAAGGGAACTGTTGAAGAAGTAGGAACGAGTGAGTTTTGGAAAGGTATTGTAATAATTTTTTTTACTGGTATGGTGGCCATCTTGAATTACGGGATGCTGAGGGTGTAAGCGAAAACTTATAACGCATAGATTAGCGGGGTTATGTTTTTAATTCTCGATGTTTCACATATTGTTCCAACTGCTAATAAATTATACTGCTATTTAGATGAGCTTTTCATTGAGAAGCATAAAGTTATATAAAAAGACACCCTGAAAGCTGTGCACTATATAAATTTTCCAATAGTTTACACCTCGGCATCCCATAATTGTCTTCATTAAAACAATAGAAATCAAGATGGCTGCAGTCTTTGAAAAGAGGTGTATTGAAGAAACCTTTAGGCTAGTGCAATTTAATAACTTCCAGTAATGGTGCCAACTAAATGCAAACCATTTATCATTTAGTGTTTGATTGTGTTAGTCGTAAAACACCATAGAGACCGCACTAGAATCTGAAAAAAAAA